ATATATTAGACTCCACAGAATCTAAATAAATTGTTTTGGTACAACATGACTATTTAATATTGACTCAAACCATATTACTCTACTTGACCCAATATTAATTCTTCACCTTTATCCAAGTTAAATAATTTACATTTTAGTTTATGAACCAAACTAATATATTTAAATTGAACCCATCTAATATATATACCTAGCATAAATTAATTCATTGGCACCATGAAAGTCTTCTTTTTTAAAATGTCATAAACTTGGTGTCAAACAATCTGCATCACTCACATCACACTTAACACACTCCAGCAACATTTTTCTTATAAGCCATTTATTCCTCAAGTAAAAAAGGACAAAAAAAGTTGCATGTTCAGACAAACAAATATAAACATGTCATTGTTGATCAGAGCAATGACATAAAGACAATATGGCTTATCAAGCAAAATTAAATGGACAGAAAGCATTCACTATTGTTGTACTGTTCAAACACATCTGAACTTGAAGGAATGTTGCATCTCTAAACATCATGAAAGAACTAAAATTCCAACAAAAGCACTCCATGAAAGTGACCACCTGAACATGTATAACAAAGTGCTGTGAGGTGGTCTACCTCTTAAATAGATGCCAGTGGCAACTACATGCACACACATTAAGCACACACTTAAATATACACTACTGTGCAGTTTTGAGTTCACCACTGAGTTTGCGAATCTTGGAAGTCATCTTGTTGGAACCAAGCTCCATCAGGATCTTCTGAAGGGCCTCAAAGGTGAACCTGAAACCCTGTGGATACTCCATGTTAAGAGCATAGCAAAGTCCAAAGAGCATTGCCACTCCAGCTGCAAGAGAAGGCAACTCATTGAGGACTTCCACACCATCAATGACAATCCCAACGTCTTGGGGCTGCTGTAGAAGGCTTGAATTCTCTCTGAAGACGAAGACTGCCATGATGGTCCTCTCCAGCTCCTGCTCGGCTTGATCTTTCTGGGAGACCTGAGGCAAAATATACGAAATATGCAACTGAACAACTGCAGTATGGCACACCTCATTAATCACTATATACTGTATAATGGCATAGGTGACACATTGTTTGACACATAGGTGACACATTGCAGACACATTGTGCAACGGACGAAGCTCTCCAAGCACTTCTTCTTCTTCTTCTTCTTCTTTTATGTTTAATGGCGGTTGGCAAACAACTTATAGGTGCATTACCGCCACCTTCCAGACTGGAGTATAGATTAGATGTCCTATCACTATATTCTCCCCATAATGCCTGACATCTTGAGAAACCTAAAAATGCTGTTAAAAATTATATTTTCAGAAGATCTTTGCAGCAAATTTTTAACATCTAAATTGATTTTATTACTGTTCATCTCTCTAATTAACAACTCTCTTTCCCGGCTGTATTTACTACATTCTAGAAGAATATGCTGCACCGTTTCTGACTCTCCACAAAAATTACACAAACCTGTACTATGTTTATTAATTATTTTCAGCGTACTATTCAGCCCCGTATGCCCAAATCTTAGTCTAGATATAATATCCTCTTCTCTTCTATTTCTACCCAAGCACTTCTCCCCAACGTCTTCTCACGTGACTCAGATTGAAAATATGACATCATTTCCTTTCAGCATGTTTTGAGAGGAACCAAAATATTTGCTTTCTTCCCATCAAAAGTGTTATTGATTCAGTCTGAATCAAAATTGAAACCTCAGAATGCAAAAAAATAGACTTTCACAACCAAGTCAATTATTGTACATTGTATTCAATAATAGTTTTTAGCTTGAATGAACAACTCTGTGCAAAACTTTTTCCAGTGTATAAATAAAGTTTGAATGAAAATGGAGGCAGCCATCTTGAATTTTGACATAGTAACCCAATTGTTTCAAAAGGAGCCTTTTGGGGTAAACTGTAGAATGGATAAGTTATGAATTATTACTAATTCATAAATTATAAAACCTCGGGGCACCACCCTCCTAAAGAGGGAACACTATAAATCTATGAATTATAGGATTTTCAGTCTCAATAAACCACCCCAAACCATGAGTTCTTTCCTTTTTTCTTTATTTCCTAAAGGGTCTAAAACTGAGGATCATGATAGTTCTGTTATTTTACAAATGATTTCATGCTACCCGCAGTATAGGCTCTTGGAATTTTTTTTTTTTTTTTTGGTAATTTCTCTAAAGATTGCACAGTCTGACCTCAGGGTTAAGTTGCTGAGGTGTCCACTCCTGGTTCAGTTGTTATTTTTGGTCAGCAGCTCCTGGCTGATAATTTAAAAATTTTAGAAGCTGCAAGGGTTTTATTTTTCACACACAGCCTTTTTTATTTTGCTAACATTTTCATTTATTAAATTGTGTGTTTTTGTATTCTTGTATAATCAGATTTGAATTATTTAAAACTATGTAAAGATTATATTATCTCCTGATTTGTAAAACTCTACAATTAAGAGGATGGATGTTTATTTTTCACCAAGACTGTACAAAATCACCAAATTTTTAAACAAAATATAACCTCAAAGTGAATGATCTGTGTACCACATCAGGTTCAACCCTCTTTCTAATGTTTTGCAGGCTACCAGAGACAGCTGAACTACAAAGACGATTTTGGTGCATACAGCACATTTGGATCAGGACCAGGAAACACATGGTGAGAACAGCACAGATCAGTCCAGACATGCAGTTTAAATCAATTTAAACTGAACCATTTACCTTAGAAATAAAATGGTATGAGAAACTTTATCATCTCACCAATATGAACAAGCAGTAGGAAAAATATTTAATGTTTTTTTTAAACAGTTTTTTGTTCCCTTGTTCTTGCTGTTACAAACATGCCCAGCTGTATATAATAAATTACTAGTACTAATACATTGCTACTAGTGATAATCTATAAATCCTGTTAGTGTTGTTATGGCATCAGTGTAAATCATTAAATGTTAACTTTGCTTGTTTTCCTCAGGCTGACTGCTTTTGTTCTTAGATCTTTTTATAAAGCTCAGACTTTTGTCTATATCGACCCCACAAAAATTGACCAGTCCAAGGATTGGTTGATAACCAAACAAAGTGAAAATGGTTCTTTCGAACAGTCAGGAAGACTCTTTAACAACAGAATGAAGGTACGTTGGTAACTTACTCAAACTTTGAACAGCACAGAAATGATTTTAACACATTTTTCTTTGCTAGTACTTAAGTCAGCACAGCTTTTCTCTTAAAGAAGTAACAAATTTAGATTTAAATGATTTTGCAGTCAAATTACTCCAAAATACTACCTGTTACCTCAGGTAAATGTTAGCATACCTTATTTTACAGCTTTATAGAATTCATCCATCCATTATCTTCCTCTTGTTCTGAAGTCAGGTCTCAAGGGCCGCAGCTTGAGCAGGGAGGTCTAGACATCTTTCTCCACAGCCACCTCTTCCAGGTCTTCTGGAAGGACTCCAAGACGTGCAGGCCAACTGAGAGACAAAGTCTCTCCAGCGTGTTCTAGGTCTTCCCCGGGGTCTCCTCTCAGTCAGACATGCCCAAAGCACCTCCCTAGGGAGGCACCCAGGAAACATCCTTACCAGATGCCTGAACCACCTCAACTGGTTCCTCTTGATGTGGAGGAGCAGCGGTTGTAATAGAGCTGTCATTTTTAACAGGCGGCTGTGGCTGAGTGGTTAGAGCAGTCATCCTCCAATGCAAGAGTTGGGGGTTCGAATCCACCAGCAGTCACATGCCGAAGTGTCTCTGGCCCAACCCGGATTCAGACTGGGCCAGGCCATAATAATGTGCTTAATGTGTGAGCTGGGTCGGTGTCGGGCTTTTTATTGTGTCAGGGACACATGCGGCTGACGATCCAATATATTCCAACATGGCTTGCCATACAATCACTTGCTCGGTTGAAAGAGGTAAAAGTTCAGTTAAGCTTCAGATGGACTACTGCCAGGTAACCATCAGCCCAAATGGACATTCATCCAGCCGCTGCACTCAGCAGACGCACACGGCTGACAACCCAAACAGGTGAGATCACAAAATATCTGACATGTCAAAGCAGCATTTAATGTGCTTTGACAGATCCTCAACTCTGATCTTCTGCCCCCTCAGCCGTGTGCATCCGCCAACAGTTAATAATAGTCGGTGGTATAAGCAGTCAAAGCTCAATTAAAAATGTCTGGGTTTTTTTTGTGTGGGGGGGTTCGGACATGTTATTAATGTTAATTTGTTGAATCGGGTGGGGTTCGGAGATGATGGCTGCAGGCTGAGGCCTGGTCGGTTCAGATTATTTGGACCCGAGTGCAACTCTACCCTGCAAAGGAAACTCATTTCAACTGCCTGTATCCACAATCTCATTCTTTCGATCACTACCCAGAGTTCATGGCCGTAGGTGAGGGTAGGACCCTAAACCGACCGATAAATGGAAAACGTTGTCTTACAGTTCAGCTCCCTCTTCACCACCACAAACCAGCACAGAGTCCTCAATACTGCAGATGCTGCACCAATCCATCTGTTAATCTCACGTTCCATTCTTCCCTCACTCGTGAACAAAACTCTGAGATACTTGAACTCCTCTATTTGAGGCAGAACCTCACCCTCGACCCAACAAGAGCAATCCACCCTTTTCCGACTGAGGACCATGGCCTCAGATTTGGAGGTGCTGATTCTCATCCCAGCCATTTCACACTCGGCTGTGAACCACTCCTGTGAGAGCTGGAGGTCATGGCACAATAATGCCAACAGGACCACATCATCTGCAAAGAGCAGAGACGGAATCCTGAGGCCGCTGAACTGGAATCCCCCTGCCCTCTAGCTGCTCCGAGGAATTCTGTCCATAAAAGTTATGAACAGAATCAGTGACAATGGGAAGCCCGGGCGGAGTCCAACTCCCACCCTGAAGGGGTCCGACTTTCTACTGGCAATGCGAACCAAACACTCACACCACTTGTATAGGGTATCAGATACCAGATATAGAATTCACTAATTTATTTATACTGTGGCAGCATTAACTGATGATAAATTGATTTGTTTCTACAGGGTGGTGTGTCTGATGAAGTGACACTCAGTGCTTACATAACTGCTGCCTTCTTGGAGATGAAAATGCCCACAGATGTAAGTATTTTTCTAAAAATGTATCGGTTATTGCTTGTTCTTTTACACTGTACAAATAAATATTTATCAGTTGTTTGATTATCTGTGTTTTATAATTGTGATCTTATAAAACAAAGACCAAAGTTTAATGTAAAGCTTACAGTGTAATAAAATTGTAAGTATAGAAATATTTCCGAAATTAGAAAGTTTCAGGAAAAATGGATCTGGATTCCCCACTTCATTCAGTTTTATGCTCCAAAGCCCAGGATTAAATCCAGTTTGTAATAATATAATCTAACAAAATGCCAACATTTTAATGCTTTCTCTGAAGAAGTATAAAGAGAAAAAGCCCAAAAGAAATGTTGAGGACCATGAATGTAACGGACTGTAAATGGTAAATGGACTGTACTTATATAGCGCCTTTCTATCTTATTTCAAGATAATCAAAGTGCTTTACACTACAATCTGTGTCCTCATTTACCCATTCATACAGCACTCTACTAGATCTATACAAGGATACATTCATGCTTTATCACATTCATACACTGATGGGACACACATCAGAGGCAATGAGGAGTTCAGTGAACTTGCCCAGAGACACTTTAACATGTGACTGCTGTTGGAATCGAACCCTCAACTTTTGCACTGGAGGACGACTGCTCAAACCACTCCTTAACAGCTGCCCCAGATTGCTGCCATGTTCATGTTCATGTAGGGGCAGCTGTGGCTGAGTGGTTAGAGCAGTTGTCCTCCAATGCGAGAGTTGGGGGTTCGAATCCACCAGCAGTCACATGCCGAAGTGTCCCTGGGCAAGACACTGAACCCCTCATAGCCTCCGATGTGTGTCCCATCGGTGTTAGAATGTGATAAAGCTCTGATTAGTCTCTTTAGAATAATTTGTTCAATTAGCTTTGTAGAGATCTAGTAGAGTGCTGCATGAATGGGTAAATGAGGACACAGATTGTAGTGTAAAGCACTTTGAGTACCTTGAAATAAGGTATAAAGGCGCTATATAAGTACAGTCCATTTACCATTCTCCATTTGGGTCACCATAAAAAGTGTACTATTAAAAAGGCAGACACCCCCCCCCCAAAAAAAAACAAAAAAACAAAAAACAGTGGGTTAGCCTCAGTCACAAGGTGAAAACAACTATTACTATAACTTGCACGGATGATTGGGCAAGTGTCTTAAGCTGCCCTTTTTGGCACAACCTGGATTCTAACCTGCACCCAGGAGCACTGACAACCAAGCTCCCTGTCACAGAAAACACTGTAGAAGCATGAAATGCAATTGTGACCGTCAATCTTCTGCCGGTCAATGTTTAATCCAGCTAATTAAGATTTTTCAAAGGGATTGTGACCTGATTTAGAATCAGATTCAGTCTGTCCATAAGGTTAATTTTCAGGGAGTGAGATAAGATAAGATAAGATAAGATAAGATAAGATAAGATAACATAACATAACATAATATAATATAATATAAGATAAGATAAGATAAGATAAGATAAGATAAGATAGAACTTTATTTATCCTGCAGGAAATTGTTGTGCCAGAGTTTCAGTACAAAGGAATATACACAAGGAATTACACGATATAAAAAATAACAGAGAATATTAAAAATACCAACAATTAAGTTCTAAACAGGTCAGGTGCAGACAGAAACATTAGTGTTTATTGTAGTGCAGGATTAATTTTATTATGCTATATGCAGAAAGGGGGAGGAGTTAAAAAGTTTGACAGTCACAGGGAGGAAGTGTTGTTCTGTGGAGTACCTTGGTGGTCTCAGTCTACGACTGAAGGTGCTGTGGTAAGAGTCCAGTGTGTCATGCAGGGGGTGTGACGTGTTGTTCAGGATCTGGAGCAGTTTCTTCAGCATCCTCTGCTCAGACACCTCTGTCAGAGACTGCAGGTCCACTCCCAGAACTGAACCAGCTCTCTTGATGAGTTTATTGAGTCTGTTGGCATCAGCTTTCTTCACCCTGCTGCCCCAGCACACCACAGTGAGAGAGACAGGATTGGGGTTACCATGGTGATCATAATGATGGACAGGCAACAGCATTCAACTTTCCTTTTGCTTTTGGCTCGCTTGACACTTCTTAGTTTATCCATCAAAATGTATTTGTTTTGCCATCCATCCATCCATTTTCTTCCGTTTATCCGGGGTCGGGTCGCGGGGGTAGCAGCCTAAGTAGGGAGGCCCAAACTTCCCTCTCCCCAGCCACTTGGGCCAGCTCTTCCGGGGGAATCCCAAGGCGTTCCCAGGCCAGCCGAGAAACATAGTCCCTCCAGTGAGTCCTGGGTTTTCCTCTGGGCCTCCTTCCGGTGGGACGTGTCCGGAACACCTCACCAGGGAGGCGTCCAGAAGGCATCCTAAACAGATGCCCAAGCCACCTCAACTGGCTCCTCTCGACGTGGAGAAGCAGCGGCTCTACTCCGAGTCCCTCCCGGATGATCGAGCTTCTCACCCTATCTCTAAGGGAGAGCCCAGACACCCTGCGGAGAAAACTCATTTCGGCCGCTTGTATCCGAGATCTCATTCTTTCGGTCACAACCCAAAGCTCGTGACCATAGATGAGGGTGGGAACGTAGATCAATCGGTAAATTGAGAGCTTCGCCTTTTGACTCAGCTCTCTCTTCACCACGACAGACCTGTACAGCGCCC